AGAGATAAGCTGCCATGAAGAAGATTATTTTATCTGCCCTTTTTCCAAATTTGATGATTTGAAACGTCGAAGTATGTTTTTTTTTATCCGGAACAGCGCTTGTTGCAAAGTGTTTTGACGCTCGTCTTCGTCACTTGACACATTTAACACGCTGTCATTGGTTGAGGAGCTTTGTTTACAAAACAGATGTCCACATGGTTTTTAAATTGTTTTAATTTCCTTACTTTCTAAGACGCATTAAGTTGATTTGATGCTGCAGTTTGCCTTGTAATCTTATTTTATACCTTTTCTGCTACTTTTGAATTGGGTTATTAAGTTTTATTAGTTTTTTAGGATACAAGATGCTTCCTACAAAAACCAGAATGTGAATCTTATCCTAAAATTTCATGGCGATATCTTGAACACTGAGGAAGTTATGAGCAAAAACAGAAAACAGCAAGGAGAAAAGGTCACATTGGATCTGCTGTGAACTGCAGCAAGAAAACATGAGCTGATTTCACCAAAACAAACATCAATAACTTCCCTCATCCTTCAGATAATCACATGATTTTGGTGATATTTGTATGGTTTGAAATGTTCTTTTGRAATCCGCTGTCAGATTTAATATTGGTGTAGGATTAAAAATGTATCCACATCCCTAGACAAAGTTATGGTCTTTTTGTATTGGTGGTTCTTCAGTTTTAGCTCCAATCTTTACTTTCTTGAGTTTCATTCAAAACCCTTAGCTGGACTGAGGCTAACCCGCCCAGAAACCTTAATTTATATTTTAACCGGCTTTGTTTGATCATTTTCAATTCAGTATGCCTGTTATATATTTTAACTTTGTATATCTATTTGAAACCGGTCTTTCTTAACCCCCTTTTGTCTCAAACTATAGCTCATAACGTGTTATGGTAGCGTCCCGCGCAGGTACCTGAAGTAAAAGTTAGCATGGTTTAATTCTGACCAAGCTCTCACACCTGAAATATCATTTAACTATATTTTACAATTAGAAGTCACGGTTGAACGTGTTGAATTAGAACTCATGTGTTAGCAGTAGCCTCCCAGCATTCCTGTAGTGTTAGCGTTAGCCTCCTAGCATGCCTGTAGAGTTAGCATTAGCCTAGCCGCAGTTAGCTCCCGCTCTCCAGTTACATACCTTCGCCACCTTCGGGATCCGTTGCTTCCCTGCCGCCGTGGAGGCCATGCTGCTGCCGGTGCAGTGAACCAAAACACTTCAGAGTAGATAAGAGTTAACGATTAGATCGAAACTAAAGTCGCCACAACAACAACGTTTGCTCCAACTTCCACCATGACAGCACCCAGAATGCCTTGCGGCTTCCTGTGGCGTTGCTTTGGCAACAGGAGAAACCGAAGCAGAAAAACGTCGAAGATAAAAAGCTTCTTTTTCATCGAGTTAAGAGAACAAGGTAAGAGAATATGATGTGTAAATGATGATAAGTGTCTGCTATATGAGTAATGGATGGTTTCGGAACATTTAGGCCTGAATAAGGCCAACAGGTGAGGATGAGGAGGAGTGGACCAGGTGAGGATGAAGAGGAGGAAGCTGTGACCGTCAGAAGGACTGAGTCTGCGGACGCAGAGGAGATCCAGGCCCTCCTGACCTCCACGGACCAGGCGCTGTTCGGAAGGATCGATGTCCTCCATCTGCTGTAAGAAGAACCCGTTTTATGGTTTATTTTGTTTAAAACTTTATTTGTAACTTTAAACAAGGACAGAAAACCATTCCAAGTTAAACAGTGTAAGGATGCGGTGCCGTTTGTCAAGTTACACAGTCAAAAATTACCACCATGTTTTTGTGTTATTTAGCCTTTTATAAGAAAAAAGAACAGATTTATTTTTCAAAGTCAGTTTTTCACCGTATGATTCATACATTTATATAGCTAAATATTTAACTTGATAGCTAAATATTTAAGTTGCAACTTAAATATTTAGGTAGCTAGCTAAATATTTAAGTTTGATATTTAGGCAGCTAGCTAAATATTTAAGTTGCAACTTAAATATTTAGGTAGCTAGCTAAATATTTAATTCAATTCAAATCA